ACCATTTTTCTTAGTTCGATCCTTTTGGTAATATCTTGATCTAGTAGAATAAAGTTTTCGTATGAATTAGTTTTGAGTTTTGCTTTGTGATCCCTCTATGTAATCGAGTCCGTGAGCTATTTATAATAAAGATTAGTGTTGAGTCAAGGGCTTTGCTATCTTGCTATGATCTTGAGAAAATAGAAAGAATATAAAGAAATAAAAGAGACCATGTTGATCTTATGGATAGTAATGAATTCACACATAAAGAGTATGAGGCATAAAAGTTGTTGAGAGTTGGCAAACCTAGTTTTGGTCATCGTTGCAATTAATAGGAAGTAATAAAGAAAGAGAGGTTCTCACATATAAATATACTATCTTGGACATCTTTTATGATTGTGAGCACTCATTAAAGTATGACATGCTAAAGAGTTGATGTTGGACAATCAAGACAACGTAATGGGTTATGCTTTCTCACATCTTAGTTAAAGTATATTGTCATGGATCATCCAACATGTTGAGCTTGCCTTTCCCCCTCATGCTAGCCAAATCCTTTGCACTAACTAGAAATTACTTGTGCTTCCGAAATAGCCTTAAACCAGTTTTGCCATGAGAGTCCATCATATCTACCTATGGATTGAGTAAGATCCTTCAAGTAAGTTGTCATGTTGCATGCAATAAAAATTGCTCTCTAAATATGTATGACTTATTAATGTGGAGAAAATAAGCTTTGTACGATCTTGTGATATGGAAGTAATAAAAGCGACGAACTGCATAATAAAGGTTCATATCACAAGTGGAAATATAAAGTGACGTTATTTTGCATTAAGATTTCGTGCATACAACCATAAAAGTACATGACAACCTCTGCTTCCCTCTTCGAAGAGCATATCTTTTACTTTATGTCTTATATCTTACGCAAGAGTCAAGGTGATCTTCACCTTTCCTTTTTACATTTTATCCTTTGGCAAGCACCTCGTGTTGGAAAGATCCTGTATATCTATATATCTATATATATATATATATATATATATATATATATATATATATCCAATTGGATGTAAGTTAGCATGAACTATTATTGTTGACATTACCCTTGAGGTAAAACGTTGGGAGGCAACACTATAAGCCCCTATCTTTCTCTGTGTCCGATTAAAACTTCATAACCATAAGTATTGCGTGAGTGTCAGCAATTGTGAAATACTAAATGATAGTTGAGTATGTGGACTTGCTGAAAAGCTCTTATGTAGACTCTTTCCTATGTTATGATAAAAATTGCTTCAATGACTGAGATTATAGTTTGTTAGTTCTCAATGAAGTTTCTGAATCATACTTGACATTGTGAATAGATTGTTACTTGAGCATAAGAAATCATATGACAATATATATATATATATATATATATATATATATATATATATATTGTTGTTATAAGAATGATCATGATTCCCTCATGTCCGTATTTTATTTTTATCGACACCTCTATCTCTAAACATGTGGACATATTTTTCGATATCGGCTTCTGCTTGAGGACAAGCGAGGTCTAAGCTTGGGGGAGTTGATACGTCCATTTTGCATCATGCTTTTATACCGATATTTATTGCATTATGGACTATTATTACACATTATGTCACAATACTTATGGCTATTCTCTCTTATTTTACAAGGTTTATATGAAGAGGGAGAATGCCGGCAGTTGGGATTCTGGGCTGGAAAAGGAGCAAATATTAGAGACCTATTCTGCGCAGCTCCAAAAGTCCTGAAACTCCACGAAAGTCATTTTTGGAATTAATAAAAAATATTGGCGAAGGAATCAGCGTCAGGGGGCCCACACCCTGTCCACGAGGGTGGGGGGCACGCCCCCTGCCTCGTGGGCCCCCTGACAGGCCTCCGGTGCCCATCTTCTGCTATATGAAGTCTTTTACCCTGGAAAAAATCATAAGAAAGCTTATGAGACGAAACTCCGCCGCCACGAGGCAGAACCTTGGCGGAACCAATTTAGGGCTCTGGCGGAGCTGTTCTGCCGAGGAAACTTCCCTCCGGGAGGGGGATATCATCACCATCGTCATCACCAACGATCCTCTCATCGGGAGGGGGTCAATCTCCATCAACATCTTCACCAGCACCATCTCCTCACAAACCCTAGTTCATCTCTTGTATCCAATCTTTGTACCAAAACCTCATATTGATACATGTGGTTTGCTAGTAGTGTTGATTACTCCTTGTAGTTGATGCTAGTTGGTTTATTTGGTGGAATATCATATGTTCAGATCCTTAATGCATATCAATACCCCTCTGATTATGAACATGAATATGATTTGTGAGTAGTACGTTTGTTCCTGAGGACATGAGAGAAGTCTTGCTATAAGTAGTCATGTGAATTTGGCATTCGTTCGATATTTTGATAAGGTGTATGTTGTATATCCTCTAGTGGTGTTATGTGAACATCGACTGCATGACACTTCACCATTGTTTGGTCCTAGAGGAAGGCATTGGGAAGTAATAAGTAGATGATGGGTTGCTAGAGTGACAGAAGCTTAAACCCTAGTTTATGCGTTGCTTCGTAAGGGGCTGATTTGGATCCACATGTTTCATGCTATGGTTAGGTTTACCTTAATACTTCTTTTATAGTTGCGGATGCTTGCAATAGGGGTTAATCATAAGTGGGATGCTTGTCCAAAAAAGGGCAGTACCCAAGCACCGCTCCACCCACATATCAAATTATCAAAGTAACGAACGCGAATCATATGAGCGTGATGAAAACTAGCTTGACGATAATTCCCATGTGTCCTTGGGAGCGCTTTTCTCATATAATAACTTATTCAGGCTTGTCCTTTGCTACAAAAAGGATTGGGCCATCTTTCTGCACCTTATTTACTTTCATTGCTTGTTACCCGTTACAAATTATCTTATCACAAAACTATCTGTTACCTACAATTTCAGTGCTTGCAGAGAATACCTTACTGAAAACCGCTTGTCATTTCCTTCTGCTCCTCGTTGGGTTCGACACTCTTACTTATCGAAAGGACTACGATAGATCCCCTACACTTGTGGGTCATCAATGACCTTCTCAAAAGGATGGAAAAGATACACTCCGTTGGGCCTTTTCCACACATGTCATATAACTGAAGTGAGAATATTGAGCAAAAGTCCATATGGCGGACATCTAGACTAGCAACTATCAATCCCTCAAGGGAGCTCCTATTTCACGCGGGGCCTCATTTCATCGGGAAACCCAAAGTGGCTCTATTTCATTTTCTTACACTTCATATCATTTAATATCCACCCCTTTAGTCTTGTAGACGTAAGATATATCATTTATAGTCTATCTCTTTCGATACAAAGAAAGTCAAGAAACTATCATCGAAGCATTGAGAAATTGTGCATATAGAAAGCTCTAAAGAAACAAAAAAAGGAAACCCGTGCCATGATTGTCAAGTCTTTTCTATTTAGTAATCTAAGTTTCTCGGTGCGAATAATTAGTTCGGTCGTTGTGGTTAGACTCTATTTTGGATTTCTAACTACATTCTCCATAGGTTCCCCTTAGATCTTCTTTCTCCAATCTGGGATTAGGTGGGAAGCAACCAACTCTCAACCCACCGCTCCACCAATGCATGTTTTTGGGCCGGCCCATATGGGGGGTCGGATGCCCCTATTTTTTTTTCTTATTTTATAAATTTCTTCGTGATTTTAAAACATTTCTGAATTTCAAATAGTAGTTGCAATTTACAAAAAAGTAAAAATATTCATGAGTTTGAAAAATTCTTATGGAATTGATTTTTTTATACGAATTCATTTTCAAATTCTTGGAATTAGAAAAACAATTGCGAATTAAAAAATTGTGATTTTGAAAAATGTTCACGACATTAAACAAATGTTAGTAGAATAATGTTTTCTCAGAAAATAAAAGAAAATTGTGCATAAAAAAATTTCATGCATGAAAAAAATAGTTCGCCAAACAAAATATGTTCATGAATTTTTTTAAAAATCCCCAAATACGTTTGCCAATTCAAAAATGTTTTCTGATTCAAAAAACTTTGGCAGTTTAGAAAAAAAATGTTTGCAAAGTTTAGCAAAAAAATCAGGCATTTGAAAAATTAAGGTAAAATATGTTGAAGAAATTGTACAAAATAATCACGAATTTGAATTTTTTTTCCATGGATTCTAAAAATGTTCATGATTTTAAAAAATGTTCACGATTTCACAACAATGTTTAAATTTTTGAAAAACTATGTTAGGAAAATGTAAAGAAAATAAAATAAAGTAAAAACGAACATGAAACAAATAAAAGGAAAAAATAAAATGACAAAATAATGGAAAGAATGAAATTTAAAAAAGGAAAGAAAAAATGGAATAAAAAGAGAACCATCCCAAAACCGGGAACAAGATAGATAACCAGCGACCCGCGCGCCAAATAGGATCCCAATAGAAAAGCAACAAATCCCTCGAAAAGAAAAATCCGGACCAGCAGCTGCCACCCCAAATCCATTCGGCTCGATCCGCTCATCGAACTCCTCGACCAAATCCGGGCGCGAATGGGGGAGCTACGGCGTCGTTCCGATTCCAGTCCACCGGCGGAGGCGCCGGGGTTGGTACGCGTGGGATGCGGGAGCCGAGAGCAGCCGTCCCGGCCAGGCGGCTCTAACTGGCGGCGTCGCTCGACCAATCCGACGGCGCCGGCGAGCCGTTCATGGCGGCGGTCCAGGAGGACGACGCGACGGCCGTGGGGCGGCAGTACGCTGCGAAGAGCAGCGAGCCGCCGTAGACGGTAGCAGCTGCACGGCCTTTTGGATTTGGATTCGGTCTCGGTGCTTGCGGTGTGTGTTCGTGGCGACGCATGGCTGCTGTTCTGATAAAACAAACAAAGTTGAGTTTTTTCTCGTTCCATTTCCATTATCAGCGTATTCTGATTTCGTTACCATTTGCTTGGCATTATCTGAACCAAACATCTCCTCGTGGTCCACGGCAAGCGTCCTTACAGTTACAGAGCGAGGTTTCCCCTGTCGCACTCTCCAATCTGAATGCCCGGCAGCCATTTTTCTTTGCGCGTGAAGCGACCTTTGGAGACTTTGGAGTCAGGTCTCCTGCTTTCTTGGCCGACAATATTACTACTCCGTTGTAGCTATGCGATGGTTGTCCAGTTTCTAGTTTACCTTCCAATTCCATTTCTGCAGCCCAACTGGTCTGAAGAAGCACACACCCCTCAATTAGTCTCTTGCTGGAAGATGAGGAAGATGGCCTTTAGGGGCACTTCTTGTATTCCAATTTTGATCCTCCCATTCCTGAGTTCACTCTGCCAATCCGATGACCAGCTCACACATGCAAAGCCGCTCTCCGCCAGCGACATGCTCGTCTCCAAGGGCGGGGACTTTGCGCTCGGCTTCTTCTCCCCGAACAGCTCCAACACAAGCTTGTACCTTGGCATATGGTACAACAGCATCCCTGGTCGCACCGTTGTATGGACCGCCAACCGCGACGATCCAATCGCCGCAACTTCATCTCCGATGCTCGCCATCACCAACAACTCCGACCTGGTGTTGTCTGACTCCCAAGGTCACACTCCTTGGGTGGTGAAGAGCGGCATCACGGGCGTGGGAGTTACTGCGGTGCTGCGTTCGTCGGGGAACTTTGTCCTCATGTCTCCAAATGGCACATCCATATGGCAGAGTTTTGATTACCCGACAGACACCATTCTCCCCGGTATGAGGATCTACCTGAGCAAGAGGGCTCATGTTGTCAGACGCCTAATTGCTTGGAATGGGCCCATTGACCCATCCACTGGAGATTTTTCTTTGGGCCTTGACCCCAAATCGAACCTTCAGTTCGTCATTTGGCAGGGGACCATGCCCTACTGCCGCCTCAATATGCTAAATAATGAGTCGGTCGGCAGTGGCATATACCAGAACACAATCTTCACCGAAGTTGTTACTGAAACAGGGGATGGGTTCTACTATAAATTCCTCGTCTATGAGGGCTCACCGTATTCACGTGTTATGCTCGACTACATGGGCGTGTTCAGGTTTCTTATCTGGAATAACCGCTCATCTTGGGCGACCGTCACCGAGCACCCCGCTAGCAGCTGTGACCTCTATGCTTCATGTGGCCCATTCGGCTATTGCGACAGCATGGGGACTGTCGCAACATGCCGTTGTCTCGATGGGTTTGAACCCGCTGGTGTTAACTTTTCGAGCGGATGTAGAAGAACCAAGGCACTGAAATGCGGCAAGCCAAGTCATTTCGTGCCCTTGCCTAGGATGAAGGCCCCTGACAAGTTTTTACATGTCCTCAACAGAAGCTTTGACGAATGCACGACCGACTGCAGCAACAATTGCTCATGTACAGCTTACGCCTACACAAACTTGAGCAGTAACGGCGCTACGGCCGACCAGTCAAGGTGCTTGCTTTGGACAGGGGAGCTTGTCGACACAGGGAAGTATAGCAACTATGACGACAATCTGTATCTTCGGCTTGCCAACTTTCCTGGTATGCACCACTCCATTCTAACCTTTTATTATCTTGGCACTTAATGTTATCAAATCAACACCAACATTTAATCGTGAGGCATCTACTAAATATACGAACTTAACAGTATAGCAGTAACCGCCAAATACTTTTTTCCCTCCAATAATTTGGTGTGGGTGTAAGCAGTAGATATATAATTATTCTATACGAGCATAATGCAACATGCTCATGATAACACATTTATTCAGTCCACGGATCACTCATGGTTCTGTAAATTATTTATGCTTCAAAAAGAGCAATGTGCTAAATTTATACATGATTCTTTTGCAGTTCGAAATAATAGCAAATTGGTAAAAATTGTAGTCCCAACCATGGCTTGCGTGTTGATACTCGCATGCCTCTTTGTCGGGATATTCAAATACAGAGGTATAATAAAAAATGCCCCTCGTTTTCAAAATTGCATCTCATTTTGTGAGTGTTAATAACAATGTATTGATCTTTAGCAAGCAAACCAAAGAAGTATGGAATCCACAATGGAGCAATGCTAGGTTACCTTAGCTCGTCTAATGAGATTGGAGGTGAACATGTGGACTTCCCTTTTGTTAGCTTTGAAGATATTTCCACTGCAACCGATAATTTCTCTGACTCTAAACAAATCGGAAGTGGAGGTTTCGGCAAAGTTTACAAGGTAACAAAAGGCTTTGCATCCACGATTTTAGTAGGAAATACTCTGTTTTTAAAGAACAATTTTATCTATGAAAAAATTGCTATCATTGTTTCACAATTTAGGATGATGCAATCATGCAGGGAATCCTTCAAGGGGACAATGAAGTTGCTATCAAAAGACTTAGTAAGGGTTCTGGGCAAGGGATACAGGAGTTCAGAAATGAGATAATTCTGATTGCCAAATTGCAGCACAAAAACCTTGTTAGACTTCTTGGTTGCTGTATTTTTGGGGATGAGAGATTACTTATATATGAATATTTACCAAACAAAAGCTTGGACGCCTTCCTTTTTGGTATGTGCAGACTTCTGATACATATTACAAGTTTTTGATTAGCCAAAATGATATCACAGATCACTAATGTAATATACTTCGTGTATCATTCATCTTTGGAGATGATACAAGACAATATGTGCTTGATTGGCCTACACGCTTCCAAATAATTAAAGGGGTGGCTAGAGGTCTTCTTTACCTCCATCAAGATTCAAGATTAACTATAATTCACAGAGATCTCAAACCAAGCAACATCTTGTTGGATTCCGAAATGACTCCCAAAATATCAGATTTCGGTATGGCAAGGATCTTTGGTGGAAACAAACAAGAAGCAAAAACTACCCGGGTTGTTGGGACATAGTAAGTAATTCAAGCAACTAGCCACCTTTCAATATTCCAATTTCTATTGTCTAGTTATCCTAAATTATACATTTGTTCTTAAATTGTCTTAGCAGTGGTTACATGTCGCCTGAATATGTTATGGGAGGCGCCTTTTCTGTAAAATCCGACACGTATAGCTTTGGTGTTCTTCTCTTGGAGATTGTAAGTGGCTTGAAGATCACCTCACCGCAACTGGTAGAGAACTTTGTCAGCCTAACAACTTATGTAAGTATAAAGAAATGCACAGAATTTTAATATGTCAAGCATTGTAACTTGCTCATCAGTTGGTTCTACTGGCTCAGGCATGGAGACTATGGGCAGATGGAAAAGCAAGAGAACTGGTGCACTCTTCATTTGTTGAGGATTGTTCACTAAATGAAGTTGTACGGTGTATTCAAGTCTGTCTCTTGTGTGTTCAAGACCGTCCGGATGATAGGCCACTCATGTCATCGGTAACTTTTATGCTGGAGAATGAAAGTGCGTCGCTTCCAGCACCAAAGCAGCCAGCATATCTTGGTCTACAGAATTTCGAAAGTGAAGAATCAAGGGAGAACTCTATGAATACAGTGAGTATCACAGCAGTCGAGGGGCGTTGAGCGTTATATATGCAAATTTCAGTATCTGAAGCCATATACTTTATGATTTACAGATATTTGAAATACGATTTCTTCGGTAGGTCATTGTGTTGCACACAGAATGGCTGTGAATTGAGAATTCATCCAGAATGTTCTATTTCGAACAAATGTATTTCTTTTCTTGCTCTGTACGCTGTTGGCATTATCTACAATGTCTTGTTCATTGATGTTGTTGGCCCGAGATCCCTCCTTCCCGATGGTAATGCCTCTCTTGCCCCTCACTGTAGGCACTGTATCAGTCTATTAATAATAGTTTAAATGCAATAGATATCGTGCCTCCTGAACATAATCACATGGTACTTTTATCTCTTCTGCATTTAACTCATGAACATTTAGCTTGAAAATTTCATAAATCCATCAAACCTGCGAAGCACTCTCTTCTAGTGATCATATATGGTGTGGCATGAAGATTATTTTGAACTATAAATCAATGTTTGCGGCATATTCTATTATTCAAAAAAAGCTCTGTATCCTTGGAACATTCTGGGTCATATATACTACGAGTAAATTGCAGAAAACCACCACTTTAAAGGCAAGCTCTGCGAAAACCACTACAATACATTTTTTTTGCAAAAAACACCATGTCTACGGTAATCTTTTTGCAGAAAGCACTGATCGGCGGATCGGGCTCAGTTAAGCTTGTTTATGACAGGCGGGGCCTGTTTTTTGCGTACGTGGCACCGTCGGCCGTCCCGACAGCCGTTACACGGCGTTTGACGGTGCCATCCCCCTCCACCCCCCCTGAAAAGGCCGGTCGCTGCCCCCACTCCCTACTCTGTCTCGCTGCTCTCCTCTCGCTCACTCCTCCTCCCATGTCTTGCTCCTCTGTCTTGCTCGCCGCACCCGCCGCCGCGTCGCCGCGCCCCCGCCACGTCGGCATGGTTTCTTGGAGCGATGGGTCCGATAGCAGCGAGAACACCGTGGAGTACGCCAGCTCAGCTTCTGACGACGGCATCATTAAGGTAAGTTCAGATTTTTAGGGTTAGGGTTTGTGATTTGGGGTTTTTTTTCTTGAATGCGCTTGTTTGCTGACATGTGGATCAAATGTCTGGTATTCCTATGCACTACAGATCCCTGCTACCACTGAAGACTCCGATTTCGAGGGACCTGAAACAGAGTTGGTTGTTCTCTGCCATGAACATGGGAAGGCCGCAGAAAGGCGTGTTGCTTTCGAAGGAATCCACACTGGCCGGAGGTTTCTTTGCTGTGCTGAGAAGGTATATTGTGATTTGTTTTCTCTGGATCTGTACTGTGGAGGCAGGCATTGCAGTTTATTGTTAAGTTTAGTTGTATTGTTAAGTTAGGAAAGTGGATTAGAAGCAATTGTTTACTCTGGCAGCATCTTAAAACCATGGCCTGGCAACATTGTTAAGTTAGAATATGCATGGGTTACTGGAGCAAGACAAAGGATGCATGGGTTACTGGAGCAGGACAAAGGATGCAACTTGTTTAGCCTGACATGTTAGGTCATTTGATTGATTTTGTTTACTTTATAGAAGGACAACATTGTTTAACTAGCATGAGGACATGTTTAAGTAGTCCTCTCTTCAGCTCTGAATGTGAGGATAGTACTTAAATAGTGTTGCTTGGAAGCATTCTAATGTATTTGTTTATGTTATTCTGATTTTGTTCAGGAAGTAGAAACTGTGGGTTAGTTGAATGGATTGATCCAGCTTGGTCCAACACCCTTGAGAATGCATTAGCCAAGTTATGGTTTATGTATGAAGAAAGGAAGAGAGACATGAATGAGGAAAATTTGATGCATTCATTTACTGTTCATGACTTGATACAAGAGAAGAAGAAGCTGCAGCAGAGCTATGAGAAGTTGGCTGAAGATGTCAATGGACTTTTGGATGCTCAGGAAAGGAGGGGAGAGGTAGAAAGGAAAGATGTTGAAACCAGCAAGCTTCAAGAGAAGTATGACATGGTTAAGAACCTAGCAGCTGCTCAAGCAACTGTCATTAGGAACATGAAGCTCAAACTAGCTGAAGAGAGGAAGAATTTGCAGAAGCACATTGATGAGCTCAAGAAGACAGTTGAAGAGAGCAATGTGAAGCTGCAGGGGGTCAAGGCCATCATAAATGGATAAGCAGAGTGTGGTTTGGCATTTGCTGACCTTTTGCAGAGTGTGGTTTGGCATTTGCTGTAATGATAGTAGTTTAAATTCTATTATCTATGAGTACTTCTGAACTATGGTGATGTAATGTAGTAATCTTCAAGTATGATTATGTATGGATTTGAACTAATGTTGAATGTGATCTTAAGTATGTTTCTGTGCAACTGGTGTTTTTGAGCTTAGTAAGCTATTTACAGTTATTGAAATTGATCTTAAGTATGTTTATGCTCAACTGATAATTGTGAGCATCAAGTTGGGTCAATTAGTGGTTTTTGCTTTTTGTCGACGCCGAGGCATCAAGTAGGGGTTTTTGGCTTTTTATCGACGTCGAGGCATCAAGTAGGGTGAACTAGGGTTTTTGGCTTTTTATCGACGTCGAGGCATCAAGTAGGGGTTTTTGTCTTTTTATCGACGTCGAGGCATCTAGTAGGCTTTTTGGCACAAGAGTAGCATCACAAGAGTAGCAACATCATCATGACTAGAGTAGCACTAGATTAATTGATCATCACAGGACTACTAGAATGCCATAGTTTGACAGAAGGATCATAACTGGAGTAGCACTACATTAATTGATCATTACAGTACCAGAACCTAAGTTGGTCATTATAGTACCAGAACAAAACTTGATGATCACTTGGTCATCAAAATAGTAGCGGTGGCATAACATGATAAAGCATATTTTGGATCACAACATCAATCCCATGCTGCACCAGAAGCAGTCAGGTAGTCCTTGATCTTCTGGGTTGGCTTTCTGACTCTCTGGGAACCACTGTTTGGTCTTGGAGGCAAGAAAGCTGCCCTTGCTCCCTTTGCAGCAGTTGAATGCCTAGTAGCTCGAGCCTTACCCTTTGCAGCAGCGGTAGCAGATCTTGTTGATGGTGCAGTGGTAGAAGATGGGGTCCTCTTTGGTGGTGCTGGGGCAGTGGCAGAAGATGGAGTTCTTCTTGCTGGTGCTGGTGCAGTGGCAGAAGATGTAGTCCTCTTTGCTGGTGCTGGTGCAATGGCAGAAGATGGAGTTCTTCTTGTTGGAGTTCTTCTTGTTGGTGCTGGTGCTGGTGCAGTGGCAGTAGATGCAACCCTTCTTGCTGGTGCAGCAGATGAGGCAGCAGTAGCAGCATCAGGTGGGTAAGAAGAGCTGCTTGGCTGCAAACAGAACACAAGTAATTCAACATTTTTGTTACATGCATAGAGAACACAAGTAATTCAGTAATTGTTTCTTACCTCATGCCTGTTCTTTCTCATGGCTAGTGTAGGCTTCAAAGCAACATGGCAATTGGTGTACCTATGGCCAACTTTGCTGCAATTAGAACAAGTGATTGAGGCCATCCTTGAAGTGTCTTTTGGAGCTGGCTTCTCATGTCTGCCCTTTCTTCTCTTAGTTTGTGCTCTGTCTTTGTGTTCTTTGAAGACTGGAGGCTCAATGTCCCTACTGTCTGTCCTTGGCCACATGTCAGGGCAGGTACTGGATAGATTATGGGACTATAAGCAGCCTTGTACATTGGTTTTTTGAAAAAATCATGAACAAAGTCCTCTGGTTGTAGCTTAGCTTTGTGTATGGCAGAGATAGCATGATGGCAAGGCATTGCTGTCATATCCCACTTCCTACACCCACAAGTGTTTTCCTGCAGGTTAACAACATATGTTTTCTCTCCACTTGTCACTTGGTAAAGATGTGGTCCGGCCATCAAAGATTGGCAGTTCCTAGACCACTTCTTTGCTTCTTCCAATTTCTCTGCATATGTAGGACAAATCTCCCATTTGACAGTATCAGTTTTTGTTCTATTTGCATTGAACTTGACCATCAACTTTGTCCTTATTCCATCAACCATGGTCCTTATTGGCTTAGCCCTCACATCTAAGACCCACCTATTGAAAACCTCACTTAGATTGTTAACAACTAAGTATGTCTTGCAGTTCAAATCCATGGCATGTTTGGCCCAAGTGTGTTTGGGTATTTTGCTAAGCCACACCCAAGCTGCTTCACAATCTCTCTTTAACTCATCCATTGCAACTTGAAAACCATGTTTAGTATATGAGTAACTTGCTGCATCCATGTATTTTTTTTAATTCTGGCCCTCTAAACCCAGCAATTTGAAAGTTCTGATAGATATGCCTAAGGCAAAACCTCTATGGGCAATTGGGGAAGACTCTATTTATGGCTTTCAAAAGACCCTGTATGAAACAACTACAACTAAGTAACTACAACTACATGAAAGTAACTACATGAAAGTAACTACATGAAAGTAACTACATGAAAGTAACTACATGAAAGTACAACTAAATATATTACCTTTTGCCTATCTGAAATGATTGTGTACTGTCCAAACTTGCCAGATTCCCCACCTATTGCTACCTTCAGCTGGTATAGAAACCATGTCCAGGAATTTGTGTCCTCCTTGTCTACAATTCCAAAAGCAATGGGAAATATGTTGTTGTTCCCATCTTTTCCAGTAGCAGCTAGGATTTGTTGACCAGTAGTTAGCTTTATGAAGCATCCATCCAAACCTACAATATTAGCACAAATAATTAGTACTTGAAAGAACATATAAATGGCAATGAACATATAAGTGGCACAAACAATACAAGGCAATTACCTATGAATGGTCTACAACCATTGAGGAACCCTTCTTTGCATCCATTAAGGCAGATGAACAATCCATCAAACCTAGACTTCAACCCACGAAGGGTAACGGTTGCGCGAGTCCACGGAGGGCTCCACCCAAGAAGGGTCCATGAAGAAGCAACCTTGTCTATCCCACCATGGCCGTCGCCCACGAAGGACTTGCCTCACTAGCGGTAGATCTTCATGAAGTAGGCGATCTCCTTGCCCTTACAAACTCCTTGG